ACATAGTATTTAGGTCTTAAATCACAGAAAAAAATGATAAACACTCAAAGTCCTAAAATAAAAATCCTATCAACAGCAGCAACTGGAGGAGAAACTTCTCCAAAGCTGGAGTGGACACAGCTGTTTGGCCACAGATAAATGACGTAGCAACAATCCTGGCAGAAACAGAGCATTCTGGGAAGATGACAATTCTCAGAGTGAAGACCATTGATAGAGATGTGCAGCTCAGGAGGGTTTATTATGCAATTCATTTGAACAGATAACTATTGTTATATTTACTTTGTTGTGGTGGCATACTTTTATACTGAGGAATACAGGAGGCATGTGGGTCCCCAAGGAATAGTGCAACACAATAATAAACTCTTACAGTCTCTTTAGTATTAACAGTATAGTATTAACTTATTATCTGAACAGTATTATTTCCTGTCTTCTTTACAAAGGATAATGTCATTAGAAGGATTAGCCAAGCAAATATTGCCGGGTGGTGGGGAGGGGGTGGGTTGTTACTGTCCGGGCCAGGAGGCTCTGAGGTTGAGGAGGATTAAAACATCACAAGGGGCCAAACAGTAGACCCCCAGCTCATTGAGGGCTGACTCTGGAGGAGGGTCACCTGCAGCCGCCGCCGCCCCCCCCCTCGCCTCCTCCTCCATCGAATCCTTCAGGAGGTTCCTCAGCAGGATGGCAGAGCCCACACTGAGACTCAGCAGGATGCACGCCTCCTTGACACTGTGGGGGGGGGGAGGGAGCAATGTTGGGGGGAATGTTACCAGTGCTTTTATTTCAATTGGTTTTGTGAAAACATTTTCGTGATGGTACTGCAATGTAATTAACTTTTCAAGCTTTGCCGATACGAATAATGTCACGTCAAGCCATTAAATAATTTAACTGAGAGACCAGATGAAGTTTCTGTCCCACCGCTGGCTTTAAACTATATTACGTTAGCACATCAATTTCTTAAACTGTGATGAAAGGAAACACAGAACTCTTCAACACACACATACTACACACACTTACTGCTTAAAGAAGTTCTCAGGTCTTTTGCAGTAGTGGCCAAACAGAGGAAATAGGTTTCTGGTCATGTCGAACTGAAGCTGAGCGGCCCCCCCTTCACTGAAGTGATTAGACAGCACCACCTGACAGACGGACAGATATGTATTATAATGGCATGGAGAGGAAACCACGTTGGCGGTTATAAAGCAACAAACACAACAACAGAAGCAGACAGGGTTCACATTAGGGCTCTTCTTAAAGAGATTAACAATGGGTTTTTTGTGGGTGAGAGCAAACACGTCTCTTACTTCCTGGTAGAGAACGTTGTCCAGCCGCTCCGCCAGGCCCTGCCAGGCCATCTGGAACAGAGAGAAACTCAGGACCTGATGGAGGTTCAACAGCCGGTCCCTCACGCAAAGCATCATGGGACAGGCCGAGCTGGACAGGGTCATGGTGGACTGGTCCTGCTGCGGCGGCAGGGACAACCACCTGGAGAGAAGCCCGGGGGGGGAATACATTTCAGAATGTTTATCTTCTTGTTTCCCTTTAAGGTCTTTGTTTTCGGCAGTAAGCATCTGGGCTAAGCCTAGTTCTTAAATCTCAAATCAACATAACATGACAAAAGACAAACCATAAATTGTTAAAAATCTATTCAAATAATAACTGCACATTTACAACAAGTGCCCTGTATCAACATCTGGTTACATGCAATAGACATGTGAGAAGAAATGATGAAAGAAGCAAAGGAGAAATCAGGTGACAAACATGAGGTGTCAACAGGGATTGAGAACAAATAAACTTTCTAAAGATAAAAAAGTGATGGGAGAATTCTCCGTTGAAACAATTCAATGGACGGATGCTGTCCTTTGTCGATGGCCAGGTGAACATGTTCAGTAGTACCACAGGAGTCCACCAGAGGGCAGCAACAGACTACTAAACAGCACAATGAGACCCTGAGGTCAAGAGAGTCACTTCTTCACCTAAATTGAATAGTTTTAGTAATAGACTAACCTTCATCACACATTTACTAGAACTCCTGTACCTAGTTAAAATTATAATTATTACTGGCTGCCTTCTTAGTTTAACAATTATAATACTGTAACAATAATAATGTAAGTAAGTATAATTGTACCTCTGTTATCTAGCTTCTCCCACACTACATTCTGCATGTTACACTTCATTCATTATATAAATACCTCTCCCACCTGAATGTGTACTTTGTAAATTGTATTAACTTTAAATTGTAAATATTAAGTGCATGCATCTAATAGTGTTTCTCTCCATCTTTTGCTTTGACAATGTAAATGTCCCCTCTGAGGGAAGAATAAACAAATCATGATTTCTGATGGTGTGATTGGGCGAAAAAAAAAATTACCATATATTCAAATACATTGCACTACCAGAGTCTCAACCTGACCTGAGTGTGATGCAGAGCGTATAATAAAATATACAAAGATGGAGGGACGGAGAGACAATCCGCCCCAGACAAAAGCTGGAATTAAGCTTTTTCCAGAGCCATGTCTCTAGCGTGGTGGACTACAGGTCAATAAACTATCCCCCCCCCCCCCATCCATCTCCCACCCTCATGGTGAAGCATTAAATCAGGGTCTCTGGCTCTCACCGGTCCTGGCCGTACGGGCGGACCTTCTCTGTGATCTCCCTCATGGTCCACTCCAGCAGTCTGCCCATCATGTCTCCTTTCAGCCGGTCCAGCAGCGCCAGCAGACCCTCGAATAGAGAGCCCTCCAGAGAGGCCAGACGACCCACCTCCATCACCCCCAGACCCCCCAGGACCCCCTCCTCCCCGAGGGACACCGCCGCCTGCTGCAGCTGCAGGAAGAACTGGAGAAAGAGTGAAAACATAAATATATAAGAAGCGAAAAGTGTTTCTTTCTTTTAATTGAGCAAGGTGCCGTATCATTTGGAGTGGCCATCTGATTAGAAAATAAATTAAACTCTGTGTCACCTACTAAACATTGTGATGGTCTGAAGGTCAACAATAACAGCACAGAGTATTAGATAATATAATGGAGAGTTGTTATTTTGAAAGCAGAATGTAGGTCAGGACTTGGTGCCTGGAGAAGAGTTTTTCTGGAGTGAATTAGCTTTCAAATGAAAAAAATGGATTTGGGTACAGATGCATTATTGAGACACTTCCTGCTGTGCTGTGGCGAATCAGCCGTTTTATTAGGTCCACTCACCACGTTGTCTCCCCAGTCTCCCAGGATGGTGGAAATGTAGTTCACAGCGTTAAGGATGGCACAGTATCGAGCCCCCAGAGGGCAGCGGGACTCCTCCTTCATCACCTGGGAAGAAGAGAAAATAATTCCATCAACCATCTCTCAAAATGATTTCTCTCTCAGCCATTACTCTTAACACAAAATACCTGTAATACAGGCAATAAGATCAAACTGGAGAAAGGCAACAAACAAACATGACACCGGAGACAACACCATGACACAACATTAAAGGTGGTTAAAAAATGTATTACTTTTCCATCTGACAATACTCTAAATATAAAACTAAGTTAAATTTACCAGCAGACAAAATGGTCACGATTACTGTCACACGGCAGAAACAAGCTGGGAAATGTTACCAAGAAGGCTGTGAAACTCTGACTTGTTGTCCTAGTTAACTCTTCAAATAAATATTTATTATTTAAGCCCAGGTGTCATACAAACTATAACTTTATTATTTTTATACCCTCGTCTCTCTGTCATCATTACCTGTGTGAGTCGTATGCGGAAGTCGTCCACCAGCTCTCTCTGGAGCCCCAGAAACTTGAGCTGTGCAGAAGGACAGGGCAGGGAGCGGTACCGCTCTGAGGACAGAGGGGGACAAAACTAAGGCTTTTACTATAAATCCTTTAAATGTTCTTACAAAACACATTACTAGCATGTCGGTACTGAGCAACAACACTTGAAAAGCTGAGGATTATGGGTGTTACCAACCTGTTACTGAATCTTCAGCTGTAAATATTTTACCTACTCAAAGGTCATGGTGGGATGAATTTGTTTAACTAGTTTTGCATGTGCCCTGATCCTTCGTTAAACTGTGTTAGGCCAGTCCTTCTGTGTTCAATTACAATACCATTTTCACATTATTCTATTATTGATTGTTCCTCCTTTCCAAAAGCTAAACTTAACTTTCTCTTTAAAAACAAGCACCTGCTGAGTTTCATGAATAGCTTAAATGCTTTTCCAATTTAAATATTCAACCACCAGCCACTTAAAAAAGCTTTAAGGTGTAGTCTTACCAGTGATGACCTGCAGAAGGGTCATGAAGGTCTCTGCACAGTCGGGAGCCTTCAGCTCGTCCATATCACTGATGTCTTTGTACTGAGAGCTCCACGCTCCCTC